CAATATGCAGAAGAGTTATGGGAATTGCTCAAGAAAGACAATACTTTCGTCTATATGTGTGGGTTGAAGGGAATGGAAAGGAATTGATGACATCATGGTCTCCTTGGCTGCTAGAGATGGTAAGAAAAAAAAAATTCTTCATCATCAAATTAAAAACTGCCAATTGGCCTTTGCCTAATTTGAGAGGCACAAAAATACTTGAAACCCTGCCTGGTACCTACTAAGGCCACCTGCTACTTGACAATTGGACAGAAACTTTGCTGATCGAGTTGTGCTTGTTATAATGTGCAGGTATTGACTGGACTGAGTACAAGAGGCAGTTTGAAAGAAAGCAAAGCAATGGAACGTGGAAGTCTATTAATTTCTCTGTTCAGTAAGAGATCTGTGGTCGTATTTGTGAAGCGGTCATTCTATTCATTTCTCCTGCATCTGTAGATAAATGAGGCCTCTGTGATTTTTCTTCCATGATATTCTGACTTCCTATAGTGGATCAAACCTCATTGCAATACATGGATTAATACTTTTTTTGGACTCTATGCAAAATCTAGATGAAGCCAGCTTCCTTTACCAAACATTAATCAAGTTAATATATCATATTCCACTGAAGTTGAACTTGTTTGTGTAAATTTAATGGGAAATTTGTCAAGTGCGAAACTTCCTTTTTCTTGAATTGGAAATTAGCAAGTAGCCAGAGATCCCTTTTTGTCTCCCAGATTGTGAGAAGTTCAAGATGGCATGGCTTAAATTCTTCATGTTCATAGAAGAAGAGGTCGTGGTTCGTAATTACTCAATAAGCCAACGGTAAGAACAACATCACGCACCCGTTCTAAATTAAGTGAAACAAATAGTTAGTTTGTAGGATTGCAAAGTACCTTAAAGAAGCCTTTGAGTGAAGTGTTTCAGTTGGGATTCCTAAATCGTATTGGACACCAACTAATTTGAATGAGAGTCAAGTTGGGGTCCAAACATAATGGTTTTCACATTTGCATGAATTTGAAATTTCGTACTTAAGTGGCCGTGATCTTTTTCATTGGGATCAATCCAGTTGGCTGAACATATCCTATTTTTCATCACATAGTTTTTTTTTTTTTGGCTACGCATAAATATCAGACAATCCTTTCATCACACAACCAAATTGGGTATTTTTCTTAACTCTTTCTTTTGTGTGGACTCAACCCCATTAATTATTTTTACCACTTGTTAGCCTCATGTCACTGTGAACTTGTTTTTTTGAGAGCCCCTTGATCCCAGTGATTCAATGTGGATCCAATTCGTATCCATTAAATGTGATGGGATATTTAGAAGGTATTTTGGATACGTAATTTCTAAATTTCAAGCCTCAAAATAATAAATTATATTCATATCTGATCATTTTTATAAACTCCCAGTTTCTAATCACAATATTGATATCCGCATTTATATTCTGTTTTTTAATCATGCGCGCTCGAATGTTCACAGTTTATGGTCGGGATTGTGCCCAGCATCAATATCAATGATGATAAATGAAGAAACAATAATTAGGTTTTATTTAGCAGTACATGTTAAAAAGTCAAGGATATTCATGTTTCAGGGGGAGGAAAAGGAGATGATATACATATAACATATATACATACTATATATATGTATATAACTTTGGTTTATTCAGTTATGAAAGGGAAATTACTGTGCATCATGGGACAGCGTGAATGGATTCATGAATTGGAGCGAATTAACCCATTAAGTAATCATTTTTTAAATAACTTTGGAGCTTAACAATGTCTCCCAAATTACTGCATCATAATATTTTTTCTAAATATCTAAATGAAGTTTTATAAAAATCTCAAATCCATGATTCTGATTCTCATGGACTACTTTTTTTTTATTGGGTTAATACCATCTTGACTCTATTTTAATCTTGTTTCTTTTTTTTAATCCATAAAATTTGACTTTATTTAGATTTTATCACTAAAATTTAAAACCGATAATTTTACTTCTTGAAACTTGATTTTATTTTGATCTGTTTAAAAAATTTTAGTATTTAAAATAATTTTTTTTGTTTTTATACCAAAAAATAGTGTTTTTGTCTTAAGAAAAAAAATCAAAACTAAAATGAAATCAATTTTTAATGACTAAAATTATTAATTTTAAATTTTAAGGAACTAGAAGTAAAATGATTTTAAATTTTAAGTATTAAAGTGAAAATAAGACTAAATTTCAGAAATTAAAAGTAGCAGTAATCATTTTTTTAAAAATAAAACCGTTGTAACGAGACAAAAATTAGACAATTTTTAAAACGTTAACAATGATTTGAGAATTTAAATGATATTATTAATTTATTTGCAAGATATCAGAAAGTTAGATGTTATAGTATTTTCATAATTTTTTCTGAGTTAAAAAAATACTTTTAGCTTTCTGATTTATAGCTACTTATCTTTTTTCTTTTTCTTTTTTTGGCTTACTTATCTATGGCTTGAATGTATCCCGTATTCTTTTTAATCCTATCATAATTTGTTAAGGATAATTATATACGCTGACAGTTTTTAATTTTAATTTGACACATGGTAAATGTTTTATTAGCATTCCTCTTTTTTTTTTTTTTTAAACTGTAGTGTGGGGGTGCGTAGTTTTTGTGTGCGCAAAATTTTTATCAATTAGTTTTTTTTATTTTAGAAAAATGCTTGCAAAATGAGACCCTAAAATGGAGCAAAATATTTCAGTTGGGTTTTATTTTACTGGATTTTTTTTTTTTCAATTTGTGTTTGGATGGTATGAGAAGTGTTTTTGAAAGGTACTTTTTTACAAATCGAGATAAACTACTCCACATATATTATTTCATATACTGTAAAATCACTTCTGGAACCATGATTTGATTTCCATCCAAACACTTTCTAACTCAATCGATTCATTTGTGACACCTTTCTGTCTGTTTTTTTTTTGGGGGCACGCGGGACGTTGCTTTGTTTGATTATGTACATTTCAAGGAACAAAAAATCGGACCGGGAGCTAAACTGGTCGAGGCAGTGGGTCAAGGTCACTGGTCGGACCGGAGGTCGGACCGGGGTCGGACCGGTCATATTAAAATAATATAATTTAATCCACAATATTAAAATAGAACTGAATTCATAAATAATAATCACTCAAAAAAAGATAGAAAGTTACAAAAGTAGTTTAAAGGTTTAATTGTACCAAGCAAATATTAATAAAATTACATCTTCATCACTATACAAAATCAAAATCATCATTAAGATCATTGGTAGGAGCATGGACTGAGATATCATCAGTTGGGCGAGGAAAAGTAGGAGTAACAGTATCATCGTGCAAAGGTGGGGGATCAGCAATGTCCATATCTTCATCACCTACATAAGACAATAATCAATATTAATGATTATGCAAATAGTTATATATTCATCTAAGAATACTAATAGAATCTTAATTATATATATATACCTTCATTATCCCTCTCAAAAGTTGTTGAATTTGCAGTGCCTTCATTGTTAACACTTTCAATTATAGCCACATCTCTATCATCAAACTCAAGGGTGGGATCTTCTTCAGTCACCCAAAAGTCCACCATGTCAATATTTTCAAAGTCAATTGGATCATAATTTTTCTTCTTCTTCAATGTATTCCTTCAATGACAAATAAAAATTCAATTAAATATAAATCAATTAAAATAGAAGATTAAAAGCATTTAGTATTTCTAAGAGTACCTATGCTTCAATCGCAGATTATAGTTTGTGAAAACCAAATCATTCAGCCTGCTATGTTCCAATCTGTTCTTCTTTTTGTATGAATTCTCTCAAACAAGCTCCAATTCCTCTCACAACCAGAAGAAGCATAAGTTTGACTAAGAATACGCATTGCAACGCGCTGTAATTCTGGAACTGAACAACCATAATATGTCCACCACTCATCTGCATAATAAAATACATTTAGCATACAATATTATAAAGAACTAGTGAATAACTATAAAAATACTATAAAGTATTAACACTTACAAGGATCTAATTTTTGTGCAGCTTTTTAACATGAGGGTCTACTGAAAGATTCTTTGCCTTCACGGTAAGTGGTTGCTTGTTTCATTACCAGAAAGCCATCAACATCTTCATCTGAATAAGACTCCACCACATCAATCAAAGCCATCATTAATTTTGACTTGCTAGGACAGTCTGGACCATATGTGATTGCAGGGTTTAACAAGTATGATGCTGCATGAAGATTGGTTTTCAAATGCCTGTCCCATCGAGCTTGGATAATTCTTGTATAAGGCTTATACATCTCCTTGTTCTTCTTAAACATCTCCTTAATTGCTATTTTTGCTCTTCGCATGCCTTCATAAACATAAGGCAATGAAGGTTTTTCATCTGAATCCACAATTCGCAATAATTTTATCAAAGGAGATACAATCTTTACCACTTCATAACAGTCATTCCAAAACCGGTTATCTAATATGATTGCACTAAAAAATTTTCCTGCTTCGGTCTTGGATAATTTGTGGTCCACAAAATGCTTATCAACAACCAAAGCTTGCAAGTCATTTTTGTGCATATATATGCTATGCAATGTAATAAATGTAGTAGCAAATCTTGTGGCACCAGGACGCACAATTTCTTTCCAGCTCGGTCTTTTTCTCAGCCAGGATAAGAAAACCATATGATTGTATAAAAAGATGGTTATTCTTGATGCCTTTGATGCAAGGTCCGACACATGAGACATGCTGGAAAAGTCTTTCAATACAAGATTCAAACAATGAGCAGCACAAGGAGACCAATAAATGCTTTTATACTTTTCCTTAATCAGTTTGCCACATGCTACATAGTTGGCTGCATTGTCAGTCACTACATGAACGATATTCTTAGGACCAATCCACTCAATGACTTCACAGAATAGTGTAAATAAAGTTTTAGCATCTTTGACTAGATCTGATGCATCAACAGATTTCACAAATACCATTCCGTGTGTAGAATACACTAAGAAATTTATCAAAGTGCGTTGTCTAACATCGGTCCATCCATCAGCCATGAGTGTGCAGCCATTGTTTTTCCATTTAGCTCGATGACAATCAATCAGCAACTGACATTCTTTTTTCCAATCACCCAATAAATTGGTTTTGAAATAATAAGCACTAGGGGCTTTAACCCAGGCCCAATTGAAGCAATTCCATCCACAGCTTTTTGAAATAAAGGGCAATCAAATGCTTTAAACGGAATACAGTTCACAATAGCCCATTCAGCAATCAACATTTTCACATTATGTTTTGCTTCTTTAGTTGCTAATGCATTCTTAATACCCGGTTGGGAATCAGGGGTTGTCCTAGGAGCAAAATAATTGTCCATACTCCCACTAGCTTTCCTCTTCTTTGAAGTACTCATGATAATTTGTGGATCAACATGGGTTTCTTCAACATCCTCTTCTAAGTTTTCAACAGTTTTTTTTTTTAAGATTCTTTTAAAGATTCAAACATTTTATGGCGTACATCATGTGGAACTTTCTTACAAGAAGCTATTTGACCAGTGATACCAGCAAGATGTTGCTTCATCCTATTTATCCCACCTCCTCTATAACTATTAGCACAGAAAAGACAAGTATATATATTCTGTGTCCCCTCTTTTTTGTATGCAATATGTGCCCATGCAGGATCAGTTTTGGTACGTAATGAAGAAGTGGGTGTAGGAGTGGAAGTTTCAATATTAGGAGTGGAAGATCCCGTATTAGGAGTCACATTGTCACTTCTTGAACTTGGATTACTTGAAATATCCATCACTGTTACTAAATAACAAATTAAAAAAATCAAACATCTGGGGGTTCATTGCTATGGGATTAGCTCAGATAATATAACATCACTGATTAAAAATCAAAGATCAAATTGATAAATTCAGATTTCATATGAAATATGCACTTTAAGTACTTGGATCTAATATTCAAACACCATTTGCATAAATTTTCAGGTTACGACCAGATATCATCATGCCAATATTCAGATGTGCTGACCAGATATCATCATGCCAAAATTCAGTATGATCAAATTTTAGTTAACGAATCATCTCACATGTGCTGACCAGATATCATCATTCAAATAATCAAATGATGTTCCAAGTAAACGAATCATTGAATCAACCAGTATGCTGTATGACCGAAGAACGCATATCATCATTCAAACGAATCAAATGATCTTTCCCGGAAACAAATCTCATATCATCATACACGATATTGTTCTACATTAGAAAAAGGAAACAAATCTCATTTTATCTAAGCCTAGCTACTTGAGAATTCAGATGGAAAAACAAACCCAAGAACGCACAAAAACATGAGCAGTGACCGAGAGCAGGGCACGGTGATGATTTAATATCTAAGCCTAACTGAATGAAATTTACCAACAGGACAACAAGAGGCAAGAGCATAGAAGCGACCACCTGCAGCTCCGACGATGATTCTGCGACCGGGAAGAAGCAACGACGATGGGAGGCGACCACCTACGGCTGCGATGCAGAGAATATTTTGAACCACGATCACCGGCTGCTTCAACGTTCAACCTCGACGATGTGACGCGACGATCCGAGACCTCCGATGGCGAGAAAACTCCGGCACAATGAGTGATTCAGCTAGGGATTTTCGATTTTGGGGAGGGTGGCGACGGCGACTCGGCGAGAGAAACTGAAGCAGGGCGAGCGAGGTCGTTCAATTTGGACCGGACCGTGTTTGTTTTTTTTCTGGTTTGTAAATTTCACTGCTAAACGGCACCGTTTCAATGGTTGGGGGATTAAAAAAAATAAATATTCAAAACCGGACAACCCATCAAACCGCCGGGTTGCCCGGTTTGATCCGGTTATTACCGGTTCAACTTGAGGCCGGTTTTTTGGCCTCCCGGACCGGACCAGCCACTGGTTCACCGGTTTTCTGGTCGAACCGGCCGGTCCAGTCCGGTTTTTTTTACCTTGGTACATTTTAACCAATCTGGAACGAATGTGTACTCCTAACTCTCTTCACGCGATTTTTTTTTTGGCCGACCTTACGCGATTTTCCATTAATTAGGTTCATTACACACACACGCACGCACACGAATATATTCGTAACTATCGTTCTTTTCTTAAAGGCCTATCCCCTTTTTTAATTAGAAAACTTTCCTTATGAGTAATTAGTATTAGTAATCAATAATAAAGCTTCACAGATAAATCAGCTGTTAATCAGATATATTATTGTTATTATTATAGCCCGAATTAATTAGGGTTTTATACTTTTATTCCTAGCTGATCTTTTGGGTTTCACGACTAAAGATCTGATTCCATATATATAAACCTACTCGTTGCCGTTCTCTCACATTCCCCGATCGAAATTCTCTTTACTCTCTAGGGTTCAACTCTAATGGCGGAGGAGAGATCAACTGGTGTGGTTCAGTGGTTCAGCGATTCCAAAGGCTTTGGCTTTATCAAGCCGGACGATGGAGGGGAAGATCTCTTCGTTCATCAATCTTCCATCAGATCCGAAGGATATCGTAGTCTTGTAGAAGGCGATCGTGTCGAGTTCGTGATTGCCTCTGGCGACAACGACAAAACCAAAGCTATCGATGTTACTGGCCCCGATGGAGCTCCTCTACAGTCCAAGAAAGACAATTACGGTGGTCGCGATGGGGGCTATGGCTTTAGCGGTGGATGGAGAGGCGGGGATAGGCGTAACAGTGGGGGAGCTAGCGGTGCTGGTTGCTATCAGTGCGGCGATGTTGGCCACTTAGCCAGAGATTGCAACCGCGGCAATAATGCCGGTGGCCCATCTTGTTTTAAATGTGGCGAAGTTGGGCACTTGGCTAGGGACTGTTCACTTGGAAATAATGGCGGCGGCGGCGGGGCTTGCTTTAGGTGTCATGAGTATGGGCATATGGCGCGGGACTGCACCAGGGGAAGCGGTGGGAGCGGTGGAGGTTGCTTCACATGTGGTGAAGTGGGTCACTTGGCCAGGGATTGCACCAAGGACAGCGGAAGGTATGGAGGCGGCGGCACCCGAGGAAATACATGCTTTAATTGTGGGAGGCGTGGGCATTTTGCGCGAGACTGCCCTGAAGCCTCTGCATGATATAAACTTAGTAGAAAGAAAAGGAGAACTTATTCTCTCGCTCTGTTTTTTGGGTTGACAATTTATCTTCTTCTCCTTTTTTTTTTCTGGCTCCTTTTGAAATTTATACATAGGTTGTCCATGCAAAGGATTATGACTTTTGTTCTGGTATCAGCGATAAGCTAATTTGTTACTGCTTGACCGGCAATTTTCCGCAAATTGCTCGACTAGAGGAGGAACAGAATTCCTCTGTTACTTCCTTTTTTTCATCAATGACTATGAGATAAATTTCTAATTTAGCAGTTATTTTCCTCCCTTGATTGCTTTCATTGTTTGACATGTCCATTATTTTACCCCTCCAGAAAGTGATGCAGTGAATGTAGCCATGTGACTATAATGGACCTGCCAGACCTTGCTTCAAATATATTATTCACCGTTGTCGCCCAAGAGCTGCTATAATTCAAGATAGTGCGGTCCTGAAATGTTCATATGGTCTTAATTTTGAAGGGGGGGGTGTTTTCCTAGCTTAGAAGCACTCTCACTCAAGCTTAGACAAAACATTTTTCGCATACACAAAATCAATTCCAAAAAGTTAATCCAAACACTCTTTTAGTGTTGTGTGAATTTAATTGTAAAGAACTACCCTTCTTTCTTGCTTCTCTTTCTTTAATCATTAAGAAGGTAAGAAAGAAAGGTAAATGCTGTTTCTTTGGAATTTTTTCTCCGGCATTTTAATTTGTGAGTCAACATACTAAAGCTTTTTCCTCAGCTATCTGGTCATATGCCTATGCAAAGCTGTATTGGACGGACTTGGACCCAATTTTTGTTTCGTATGACCATTTTCGGATCGTGACTTGTAACATATTTACTGTTGAGAACAGAATTTTTAATAAAGCATTTAATGTTGATAAATTGAGGCAAGTATTGAAAAACTGTCTTCTATCAGAGATTGCTTCTTGAAAGCATGGAAGATAATGGCAATAGTTCATGCTTGTTGTCCTGTAATTGACTTCCCTCCCACCTTCTGGTCTTTTATGTAAAGCTCTCTCGTTATCTGTTGAGGCCCTTTGTGTACTATTGAATGGATGTTCTCATAGGATAATTCTTGCTTTGGCATATCTCTACTTGATCGGATTTCGGTACATATTTCTTGTCCCTGCTTCAAATTTAGGCTTCCGTTCGGTCCTCGATGCTGCTTTATATGGATATAATATTACTTCTAATTCGGGTTTTCTGCATTGGAAACTCGCTGTTCCCGTCACCCTTGTCTGGAGATTGGTTTTTATAGTCTTAACTGATACAAGTGTTGCACAGCAGGTTAAGCATCCTCTTGATTTTCAGCTGAATTGCGTGCTTGTGATTTTTCTAAGTTGATTGACAAATTTAGTTGCAAGCCGGAGAGTTTTTCTTTTTCTTTCTCCTTTTCCTCTCCCTGCCATGGGCACCTTTATTGCCGTCATATGCAATTTAGCTTTCTGACACTGTTATGGCACTCTTTTAAGCATGCTCATCAATTCTGATGTTTGACTTGTGCTCAGTTTCTTTGTTGCGGGTGTCTGTATCGACTATGTTTACGCTTGAGGTTGACTCTGGCTTTTACTTTTTGTATTTTATTTTATTTTATTTATTTATTTTTTTGCTCCAATGGCTCTGGCTTCAGATACATATTATCGGAAAACATTTAGATACATGGACCTTGATATAATTCCGGGGACATTTGTGTGGGACTGTTGTCTAAGGAAACTGCGTAGGAGCCGGTGGATTGGTTTCTGGTCATAATTTACCACGAGGCCAAGATTTTTTTAATAAATGGGTAAATGTCACAGAATCTGTATATGATATGTGCATCTATAGAGGGGATTATTTCTCAGGCTGTATTGAGATACATGGACCCCGAGCATGTTGGA